ATTTTTACAAACTTGAGATGCAGTTGGTTTGTGAGTATAACCATTTGTGTTTCTATTACTTAGATTAAAATGTTGGGTACTTGTATAACTCCATGACAAAAGTAGATGAGACAGTTTGTTATTCTCCATGTTTTTTTAATATTATACTCTACCAATGGTGTTAACACAAAGCATAATTGGAGAGAATAAATAGATTGCACTTCTATTGTCATGCTAGCAGCATTGCTAAGGTGCTTAAAGAGCTGAAGCTTCTTTGGACATTAAGGCTGAAATGTTTGGCTCTTGTAGGACACCATGGCAATGTAGTTGAGGCAGTTTTCTTTCACATTTTTTAACTTCCTATCCCAAAATTGGTGCTTGGGCAAAGCACCATTGGTTAAATACAATAAAGATCGTTCTAATACCTCACCAGGGGCATCTTTGGACACTTATACTGAAATGTTTGAGGCTTGTAGGACACCATGAGAAAAGTAAACCCAATACCTCGCCAGTTATTTACTTCATGTTTTTTTTACATTTTGTATCCCGCCAATGGTGCTTACACAAAGATACAATAAGGAGCACTCTTTTAATACCTTACCAAAGTCATTGCTTGTGTCCTAAGAGCCATAAGGCATTTTGGCAGGACAGTGGCTAAGTGGTTAGCACTCCTGCCTAACAGCACAAGGGTTGTTGGTTCAAATCCCAGCCATAACACTACCGGCCTGGAGTTTGCATGTTCTTCCTGTGCCTGTGTGGGTTTCCTCCCACACTCCAAAGACATGCTGGTGGGTTAATTGACTTCTGTCTAAATTGGCTTTAGTATATGTATGGACTGATGTGAATATACTGTATGTAAAAGTGCTGCATAAATTGATGGCGCTATATAAGTGCCTGTGATAAATAAATTATTGGACACTAAGAGCAAAATGTTTGTGGCTTGTATGACACCAATTACTGTATCCCACCAATGGTGCCTTGTGCAAGGGAATTATATTACACAACTGTGGAAGTGATGCACTTTGCTACTCCAATGCAACTTTAATAAGTAACTTTTACTTTGTTCATTAAAATTATAAATGTTCTAAATTTTTGCAAATGCCTAGATAAGTGTTTCCTTCAAAAACTGAAAACTATATACTGTGTCTAATTATCTTCTTCCTCTGGAGAATACACCTTCTATCTAATTTCTTCTATCTGTGATATTCTGTATCTTTATACTCTCTTTTCTTTCTCTTTGTCAGGTGACTAGTGGAGGCCAAGCTCATAAGAGGGCTTCCCTTACATCTGCCCAATACCCCCTGGGGATGGTGACAGGGTTTGGCAGTACGAGGAGTAGCACAGGTGCCTGCGATAGGTCGTGGCATGGTGAGTGGACAGGCAACCGTCTGGATACTGCTGAGATGCTCAGACTGGAGCCTGTGCAGAACAGTGGCTCTCAGGTGGAGAACATGAACTTGCAAGTGCTGAAAGCAAGCCCTAGTCAAGACCAGCCAGAGTCAACAATAACCGATTAGCAGAGGTACCAAATCCAAAGACAGGAGCAGGGTCAGAACCCAGGCCGGGGCCAATATCAAGCGGGCAGCAGAAGTACCAAAGTAAAAGGCAAAAGACAAAGCCAGGACAGAAGCCAAGGTCAGCAACAGAAGGTCAGGATAAAGCAGGGTCAAGGGGCAAGCCAGGTCAAATACAAAATAGTAGGATGCTGGTCTGGCCACGAGGTATAAGACCTCAGGACCACTCAGTAACTCTCCTTAGCTGTGCTGAGCTTTAAATACGCCTCTGGGTGCCAAAAGCCAGTGCTGGATGTGAATGTTAATTCAGTGAATAGACAGTGATGCACACGCAGCCTTGACTATGTACTGGTCCACGAGTTGCACCAGATCTTTGGATGCGGCCATGCACTTGATCTTCCAATGTCTCTTCCATTCTGCAACTCCTAATTTACTCATTTTCTATCTCATCTTCTTCAAAATCTATTATATTATCGCCCTCTTCATTTGTTCTTTATGTCTTTGTCTTCCTCTCTATCGCCGTCTATTTTCTCTGCAATCATTTATCTTGTAATCTGCCTTTATCTTTAATCTCTCTCCACTTCCTTAACTTTATCAGATCTTTCTCCAGTCTACTATATCTCTCCTTTAATTCCCTTTTACTGTTTCTCTTCCTCTCTCTGTATGGATTTGATTGTTCCTGCAAATAGTCTAAAGTGGCCTTGTGCAGCAAACAAATCCGCTCTCAGCACATTTCACCATTATTATTATTATTATTATTATAATACAGGATTTATATGGCGCCAACAGTTTTCTCAGCGCTTTACAATATAAAGGGAGACAATACAGCAACAATACAGTTCAATACACGAGGGATAGGAGGGCCCTGATCCTTGGAGCTTACAATCTAAGAGGGAGGGGCTGGTGGTACAAAAGGTAATACCTGTGGGGGATGGACTGGTAGAAGGAATAGAAGATTCCATTATTAGCTGACAGCAGGATAGGCTTCCTTGAAGAGAGAGGTTTTCAGAGATCGCCTAAAAGTGGGCAGAGTAGGAGATAGTCTAATAGATTGGGGTAGAGAGTTCTAGAGGATAGAGGAGGCTCTGGAGAAGTCCTGGAGACGAGCATGGGAGGAGGAGACAAGGGAGCTAGAGAGCAGGAGGTCGTGCGAGGAGCGGAGAGTACGGTTTGGGTGATATTTGGAGACAAGATTGGTGATGTAATTTGGGGCAGAGTTATAAATGGCTTTATACGTTATTGTTAATGTTTTGAATTTTATTTGTTGGGTAATGGGAAGCCAGTGGAAGAATTGGCAGAGAGGGGTGGAGGACACTGAGTGGAGGCCAGTGGAGGGATTGGCAGAGAGGGATGGAGGACACTGAGTGGAAGCTAGTGGAGGGATTGGCAGAGAGTGATGGAGGACACTGAGTGGAAGCCAGTGGAGGGACTGGCAGAGAGGGATAGAGGACACTGAGTGGAGGCCAGTGGAGGGATTGGTAGAGAGGGATAGAGGACACTGAGTGGAGGCGTGGAGGGATTGGCAGAGAGGGATGGAGGACACTGAGTGGAGGCTGGAGGAGGGATTGGCAGAGAGGGATGGAGGACACTGAGTGGAGGCTGGTGGAGGGATTGGCAGAGAGGGATGGATGACACTGAGTGGAGGCTGGTGAAGGGATTGGCAGAGAGGGATGGAGGAGACTGAGTGGAGGCTGGTGGAGGGCGGAGGGATTGGCAAGAGGGATGGAGGACACTGAATGGAGGCCAGTGGAGGGATTGGCAGAATGGGATGGCGGATACGGAACAGTTAGTAAGGTGGATGAGTCTGGCAACAGCATTCATTATAGACTGAAGAGGGGATAGTCTGCAATGAGGTAGACCAATGAGGAGGGAGTTACAGTAGTCAAGGTGAGAGATAACCAGGGAGGGAATATGTTGCTTAGTAGTTTCAGAGGTTAAGAACGGGCGTATTTTGGAGTGTATGTGTGTGTGCAGCCCCATATGATCTGAGAAGGGAAGAGAGAGATGGACTTTTGAAAGAAAGATAAAGAGGGAAGAGAGAGAGAGGGAAGAGAGAGAGAGGGAAGAGAGAGAGGAAGAGAGAGAGAGAGAGAGGAAGAGAGAGACAGAAGAAGGAGAGAGGGGGGGAGAGGAGAGAGAGGGAGGGAGGGAGAGAGAGGGGAAGAGAGAGAGAAGAGAAAGAAGGTAGAGAGAAGAGAGGGAGATGAAAGAGAGGGGGGAAGAGAGAGAGAGAGGGGGGGGAGAGGGAGGGGGGAGAGAGAGGGAGAAAGAAAGAGGGAAAGAGAGAGAAGAGAAAGAAAGGGAGAGAGAGAATCATATATATATACACACACTTCTTGAACTCTCTTGTTATCTCATTGGGGGGGGGAGCAAAATTTTTGTGTGCAGCACAAAATCTAAATACACTACTAGGAATGTCCTATGATACTTAGCGCCATCTAGTGGCCAATGCACATTTTTCTGTTTTAAATCAATGAACAACCCTCAGCCATCACTGGAAATAGCCCATTAATGTATGGGGGGGTTTTATGCCCCGTTCACACAGAACAGATGTACATGCACTCTCACTGGCCGAACTGCTATGCAGATTTTTTTTTTCTATAATACACCCCTTGATCTCTCCTTCACGCAGATACAAGTAAATCCCAGACCGTATTTCTGTGGTTTGAGAAGACGACATATCATTGTATTCCTGTACATGGGCTTGAGCCATTGTATCACGTCTCTGTGTGCTGCTTAGCTGGAGCCGTTTGTGGATTTTCAGAGATGCGTAGTGATAAATGAACTAATCTCTGACCTGTTGTCCAGAATCCAATACAAATCAGATAGGGGCTGAGCTTCATTAGGTTATTGTCCTATTAGATATTGATGCGGCTGGATTGGTGTCCTGAGAGGATAGCCATCAGTCTATTGAGTTATGTACATACAGACGGGAGATTAGACTCTAATCCCCTAACAAGGCACTGCAGGTTCGCTGTCTTTTCACCTGCCGCCACATTACAATAATTCTTACCGACATTTCTACAGGACTCGCACATCTCATTATTGTCTGGTGAAATCCGCACTTCGGTATTTAACCGCAACTGGAGCCGACATTGATCGCAGACCATTGGAACTTAAAGTTTGGTTAAAGTTACAGCAAAGTTAGGTAAAGCGCAGCACTTTTTTACAGTATCCTTAGACTGTGAATAAGTAGTTGCCCCCCCCCATTCCGAGCAGACATAAGAAGTCAACCCCCCTCCCCTGACTTCTCCATCAAGATCAATAACAAAATCATCAGTCCCTCCCCTCATGCCAGGGTACTAGGTGTAATCCTGGACTCCCATCTGTCCTTTCAGCCCCAAACGCAATCACTGTCCAAATCTTGTAGACTTCACCTCCGCAACATCTCCAACCTCCACAACATCTCCAACCTCCGCAACATCTCCGACCTCCGCAACATCTCCAAGATACGCCCGTTCCTAACCTCGGAAACCACTAAGCAACTTATTCACTCCTTTGTTATATCTCTCCTTGACTATTGTAACTCCCTCCTCATTGGCCGACCTCATTGCAGGCTATCCCCTCTTCAGTCTATCATGAATGCTGCTGCCAGACTCATCCACCTTACTAACCATTCTGTATCAGCCACCCCTCTCTGCCAATCCCTCCACTGGCCTCCACTCAGTGTCCTCCATCCCTCTCTGCCAATCCTTCCACTGGTCTCCACTCAGTGTCCTCCATCCCTCTCTGCCAATCCCTCCACTGGCCACCAGTCAGTGTCCTCCATCCCTCTCTGCCAATCCCTCCACTGACCTCCACTCAGTGTCCTCCACCCCTCTCTGCCAATCCCTCCACTGGCCTCCACTCAGTGTCCTCCACCCCTCTCTGCCAATCCCTCCACTGGCATCCACTCAGTGTCCTCTACCCCTCTCTGCCAATCCCTCCACTGGCATCCACTCAGTGTCCTCCACCCCTCTCTGCCAATCCCTCCACTGGTTTCCCATTGCCCAACGGATAAAATTCAAAACATTAACAATAACATATAAAGCCATTTATAACTCTGCCCCATTACATCACCAATCTTGTCTCTAAATATCACCCAAATCGTCTTCTCCGCTCTTCCCACAACCTCCTGCTCTCTAGCTCCCTTGTCTTCTCCTCCCATGCTCGTCTCCAGGACTTCTCCAGAGCTTCCCCCATCCTCTGGAACTTTCTACCCCTATCGCCTACTCTGCTCACTTTTAGGCGATCTCTGAAAACCTATCTCTTCAGGGAAGCCTATCCTGCCCTTAGCTAATAATGGAATCTTCTACTCTTCCAACCAGTCCACCCCCCACAGTTACTACCTTTTGTACCACTAGCCCCTCCCTCCTAGATTGTAAGCTCCCAGGATCAGGCCCTGCTATCCCTCTTGTATTGAACTGTATTGTTGCTGTATTGTAAAGCGCTGAGCAAACTGTTGGCGCCATATATCCTGTATAATAATAATAATAATCATAGCCCACATTCACATTAGTGTCGCCTGTATTTAAATCTAAGACTTGTCAACTGTCTATCCCAGTTTCCTACCCTAGCCAGGCAATTAGCATTTACAGAATGATGCAGTCATGGCAGCTTCCATTATTACTCACAGGAAACATTTACTTTAAAGCCCAACTCTGCCCTTTCTTCCTTCCTGGCACCCCCTTTCCTTACCCAGCAGTACGTCACGTGATATGAGGGGCCCTCTTCTTCTGCACCTCTTTTCCGATGTTGGGTGGGCCTCGATGATAGCAGTGCTCTCATGATGATGTCAGTGCCACCTTCTGCATCATCACATTGTGGGTGCGGGGTGCTTTTAGGATGGGCCCTCAGGGTCAAGTCTGTCTTGGATGTTATTCTGTGCCTCTCTGTGCAGCCATAGCATATCCTCATCTCTGTCTCTCTTGGCCCTCCTCCAGATCTTGCGCTTTCTGCTTCTCAGCTCCATCCCCAGCTTCATCCCAGCAGCCACACAAGGTAAGGGGGTGCTCTGTGATAGAAGGGAGGGTGTGGGACTCTTGACTTCTTATGGTGGTGTTGGGAGGGATCTTGACATGATGTAAGGGGGTTGTGGGGTGCTCTGGACATCTAGTCTTACAACCAGCCCTTTAGGAGAAACCATAATGCTGATACAACCCATGATGAAATTGAGTTTGACATCCCTGATCTTGGAGGTAAATATAAATATTTTGAAAATACAAATATATCTTGTATCAAAAAGCATAAACTCAGTAACTTACACCTATTGGATACATAAATGCACATGGTGCCTCACCCTGGTCAAGAATGTCCAACACCTGTACTGGAAAAGAGGAAATGGAGAACTTAAGAACCACAATGATTTGTACATGGCAAAAAGAGCCCTCAATGCCTGCCAGCCTATACAAAAAAGGAGATTTGTTGTCCACCTGTAGCTCATTGGCACAGTTTCTTGGTTCTGACCAGACTCAAGCTCATCCCTATTCCTGGGCCATGGATAAGGGGGTACCACCAGTCCTCCTGTATGGGGCCCAGGCAGCTGGGTGAATCGGATGTGGGCAGGGAGGGTTTTTGGCACGACAGGGGGGCAATTACTGGAACCGATCCCCAGCATGGATGTCTCTGCAGCAGCTCCTGCCTGGCTTTCAGCTGCTGCAGAGACCCATACAGGGGATCGGTTCCAGTATTTGCCCCCTGCTGCACCCATCACCCTCCCCTTGAACATACGTTTACCCCTGTGTGCCCCTGCAGTGCTGCCGGCTTCCCTCCTCTCCTTCCCACTGGCAGCTGCAAGCATACAATAGGATCCTTCTGGATGGAGAGTAGGGGAAGGGTCCTCTATGTCACTTTTACCAGCCCCTTACTTTTCTGATTGAACACAATGAGTGATTGGTTCTAAACACTCAGTGTTCATTCATAACTGAAGCATAGTAAACAGTTTTTTTTTGGGGGGGGGGGGCTGTCAGGTTGGCAGCATGGGACCCCATGGTTTCTATGGTTTTCTAACAGCAGCCTTGTTCCTGGCTATGGCTCCACAGGTGCCAACTTCAGCCTCGTCTTGGATGACACTTCCAGCAGTCTGTTGCTTACTTATTGCCCCTGTGGTGCTCATCAGTTTTCCAGATCATTGGTGACATTTATCACCCATGCCTCTCTGAGTCCTCCAATGCAGGGAATTTTGAATCAGAGGTTTAAGGGAAGCCCTCTTGTCATTCTGGCCCCCAGCCAGGTAGTTGATATTTTGCCTGGAGATGGACATCAACTTCATTGGTCCAGTAGCAGCAGTTTGTGTTTGTTACTTTTTACTTTAATTCTCAAAGTTCTCCCAGTACTTGCCCCTAAAGTTAAATTTTTTTTCTCCGTACTTTCCCATAAACTTTACGTTTCTTTTTTTTTTTTTTTTTTCCCATTCTACAGCATCTTAGCAATAATGCCTTGAGTTAGGGCGGCCAATAACGGCACCAACGGATTTTGTGTTCCCGTGTAAAATGTACTTGCTTGTTGTCATATGTATACAAGGAAAATCTATTACTTTTTACTGTGGCAACTCCACAAAGAAAATCGAAGCTTTAATATTTTACATCGCCTATATAAAATGCAATAAGTCAGGATACCGATGCTCGGTTTATGTCCTAGGAAATTATATTCGTGCGCACTGTCTGTTTAATAGGGGAACGCCGAGCGGCGGAGAGAGGAAGCGGCCTATTTGCATGTCTGCCTTTATGGACCTGGTGACGGCATTGGGATTATTCTGCGGCGCGTGTTAAACTTTATTGGAAATCAGATGAATAGATTTTAAATGCCTTTTGCTTGGCGCTTTGTCACGGCGAGGAACAGAGCGACCAACGCCATCTGTCATTTCTTCGCTTGCGCAGCAGGAGTCGTCCTTTTTTTTTTTTTTTTGCCGGAGAATCGTAAAGTTGATCTGAAATCTTAGAAAGAATGAAGGAGGATAACGTTGTTGGGACGAGTGCCATCTTGCTGAAGGCCGCTCTGCAGCGCTAAAATGAATAAAGAAATCAATTTTTGGTTCTTTGTAGTATCCCAGTTACCAGACTCTTATATTAGATTTAAAGCCTAAATTTTCCCCTCCCCTTTAGTGACCCCCTGCTTTCCTTGAGGTCCTTGGGAGCAGCATTGCATGCTTTTTTTTACTAACCTTTTTCAGATGTGACACACTGGGTCCTCTTTGTTGGTCTTCTCCTGATGGTGGGTGGTCCTGGATAATGCAGAGATGTGATAACATTAGTATCAATACACCATGATTGCAAGGTACCCGTGATCAGGGGGTGGGGCCATGACTCCCTGTACTCACAGTCCTTCCTCAGTCTTCTTGCTTGGCATCATTCAACTTGGAAAACTGAGGGCATCTTGTGGCAAAGAAGAGGTACTGCAGCTGCATGTAATTTTATGTGCATTTATAGTGGTTATAGTGCAGTGCTTACTCTGTTTTCGCTACACGGTGTGAGCTTCTCATATTCTGCAGAAGTCAGATAGAGCCCGCTTTATTTCCTGGCTGGAGGACATCCAGCATCATCTGGCCCTTTCATTTCCAGCCTGACTGTCCTTAGCAACTCCCTTCACTCATTGGATCTTAGTTCTTTCAATCATACAAAGCATCACATATGGGAGTTAGCTATGCAAATACAGCCTGCCTAGGAACTCCCAGATTTACACTCACCCATCAAGGAATTTTTATATTTGCATAACCCCTCCCATTGTTTGCATCAGGACCGAGGGCTCTTGAGAGGAGTACAGAGGCAAAGTGATGTGATGTTTTCAGGAACCTGCTGACCCCTACCACCAGCCATGATCTGCCTGCATTGCACAGAAAAGCTCAGAGACCCAGTGATGACATTACTGGTGCTAAAAAAATGTATGTAATGAAAATGGATAGGTGTTATGCTGAGATTTTATTAGCATTTTGATGAAGGAGGAGGAGGCGCCAAGTAAGGCAAAATATAAGCAACTTGAACAATTCTTACGTTGACAAGAAAAACTGTGGTCACTAAAAAGGGGCTGGTACCTAGGAAAGCAGCAAAGAATGGAAAACGTTGTCACCCTCTTCATGGGGCCCCTGTAGCTCAGCAGGGTTGCTTTATGTTTTAATCATTTGCTAGTTATTACAGATCATTTTTTTGAGCTTGAAGCGTCTATTTATCCATTTGGCTGACGTTGCTTTCTTAAATGGGAAGAAGTTCATTATTCATGCCTTTCCGATATGAAAACATGGCTTAATTATTACAAATATGTCTAATGACTGCGAGGAGCTCAGACCCGGCCGACCCCCACTGGTAAAACCAATTCAGCATTGCCGAGTAATTTGATGAAACCTGTGTGATTCTTCATTGCCGATTAGAAACAATTATTCTTCCCCGCGTTTGCCTTCTGCATGACACACATTAAGAATGAAGGATGATGGAGCAAAGGCGCCTCCGTTTAGTAAACCAAAGTGTATCCCATTGCATCCAATCAGAATCTGCCTTTTCTGCTCCTGGCCAATGCAAGCCAGAGTGGGTCTGGTTGCTGGGGGCTATTGCTTTCTGAATTTTGTCTTTGCAGTTGGCCTTATTTCATTGCCCAATGCAAAAAGCTCAGTATGCAAATTGGAGCAATACACAGCAGTCCATCAAAAATCATTCCTTACTGGTCTGCTGTGCACTGACATGCAGTAAATGGAAAGCTGGGTCATTGACCAACCTCTCAAGCCTAATGATTGACAGTGAGAAAGTATTGCCACGCTCATGAGGTCATCACTCTGCATTCTCCTCCTGTTGTAAGTCCCTAGTGTTGGATTAGTTGGAATCTAATTGCTTAGGTTTACATCCCATTACTGGGCCACTCCTGCACCATGGTAATTGGATGGTGAAGGAGCATCATCATGCTGTTGAGGCCATCATTCTGCTCCTGTATTAAGCCCTTGCTTAGATTTA